AAAAAATAAAAACGAAAGAGAAGCAAGTGGGAAATAAGTGGGATAAATTTGGCGATGCTTGAGGAGTTGAAATACCACGGGGGAAATCCTTTTTGGTGTATGGTAATATATTACATAGTTAAACCCATAAAAATTTTATAAAATTCATAAGAAAAGAAAAAAATAAAAAGGAAATAACTCCATATCGAGAGAAAGGAAAAATGTGGGCACTGCAACGGTATAGGTTCCATTACCCTCGAGGATTATTAATGCTCACAAATGCTCCAGGGCTTACTAGGGCTGGTCTTTCTATGCAATTTTGGTCTTGACCTATAGGGCTACATACTGCATACGGCGACTCCGGCGCTGTGAGACCTAACAGGTCTAGATACATCTAGGGGTATGTCCATGGATATTTGTAGAGTATAGTTATTTTGTACACATTCCTTAAAGAAGTGGCGTACATTTTCATAAGAGTAGACCAGATGGAAAGGATTCCCGAGGTCCGTTCCGAGGCTTTAATAATACTATTTTTTGGTGAGAGATTTAATGGTAATGAAACACTGAAGTAATCCAGAGTAATTAATATAGTAAGTAATGGAAAGTACATGTTTTTTTATTTTCTGGAACCCTACTACTAGTAGAACTGGGTCTCTCCCGTCTGAAGATTGAGCAATACATGTATTATCTTATCTTAGTATTAATGACGTTGATTGAAGTGACGTCTTTGTGTATACCATATAAGTACCTAGTATACCTACTACATATACTCCTATGTCCATCACTTGCTAATATTCATCTCCCGAGAATATTGGAATATTAGAAAATACAGAGGGGAAAGTAGCTCTGATAGTGCCCGCCACCACATCAAAGGAGTGAGGCTGTGCAGTCTGCACAACGAAGCCCAGTCGTGATTCGATCAGGCCCCGCACCAAGGCACCAAGCCGACGCGCTGGGTGCACTGTGTGGCGGTTGTAGTCATCCCGAGGTGTGGATTTCGATGTATGAAGTTGAGGGGTACTTCTCCTCCAAGCTATTAAGATCCATCCATCCGATCTAATTGGGGGAAATCCTGTTGGTCTATTAGCCGGAGCATACAATGTGAATATTTTAGACGTGCTTTATTACTCTATATGGTAGGTGGGGGGTTATCATTTTCATATGAGCATAGCATATACTAGTACCTAAGAAGATCAGGCCATTCCTATTACTGTACGATGCACCAATATAAACACAGTATGTCATCCGATAAAACCCTGCCGAATCAAATACAGGTAAATCCCAGTTTCTCAAAGGGACACTGTCCTCGTTGGTTGTAAATCCTAAATTCCCTTTCAACCAATTGTCGGATTCCTCCGTTTATACCCGTGCTCACTCGCTACTTCCAACGTCCAGCTGGTCAACTTGATCAACCCGAAACCGGAAACCCCATCTGGGGAATACGGATTCCTGCCAGTTTTTGCTAGACGATCACTGCTACGTAATAATAGTCGGTCAATCATGCACATCTCTCCATCGGGGTCGTGGAAACCGCGTGGGGTCTCTGTGCGATGATGTCCCCGCAGCGATGTACAGCGTACATAATGCTCTAATACGTTATAGGGGATAAAATGGAGACTAAAGAGGTAGTTTCGGCTATCGAGGTAGCGCCATTCGGACAGATGACGGTATTTGAGAGAGACGGTCCCGGGGGGTGGTGCAGGTTGACTAACATTGTCTTATTCAATTGCAAAGGATTGGATAGAACATATCGCTCTTTCTTGGCCCTGTCACCTCTGCATGGGAATATGTCCAGCCTTATTACTTTGCAACGTGGAATGCGGACTATTCACCGTCTCTTCGGATCCTGGTGTGTCTGTGGGGAGTGTCTAGGATTTCCATACGGAGTACTAGTATGAGCCTCGCGCTGAACCTGGGCTTTGTTCCGAGCTAGTACAAGGTAGTAACTACTAGCGGTATTCTCGATAATGTTATTTGATACTCATTTTACCCCGGATTACTGTCGATTTCCGAATAAGCCCAGTTAGTACTGACCTCGGCGCGGGACACAGGAAAAATAATGGAATAAGACATTTGCTGCAGAGACACAATAGAGCTGAAAATAACAATTCAATCTGACATGTAACGCAAAAAACAGCATGTCCACTTTCTCACACAAGCTTCCGTATCCAGCACTAACAACTACGAGGGATTTTCATGCGCCAATCACAGCCCTAAGAGGACTCCATCTTAATTTCCCACTCATTATGCACCATGTAGATGTACAACGTACAATATACAAATGTACCAAGCCTTCGATATCAATGTTATATGCACCTATACCGAGGCATGTACTTCTACAAGCAGTTATTCATCACTGCCCCTCTCCAGGGCTTCCTCCCAAATTCCAATTTCAATCCCACATTCGCATATTATAAATTTGACACTTAATACTAAATTTACACCGTGGGTATTCCATAGATGCTCTTGCTTTGATATCTTTTTCATTGTTCTCTTAAAAAATATTTTAGAGGTCCCTACATATATCGAGAACAGAGGGCAAGACGAACAAGATGGGTCCAACAATCATAAGATGGAAGTCCATTGCAGGTTGAATATATATCTAGCTTCATATGAATCGTCCTTTCAGGTCGAAACTCGCTCTCAAGTACGGTACTTTGCCCCATAGCCATGTTGGTGTCTCAAAGGCCACTTTTGGTAGCCAGCAACATAATAGAATATTATTAGGGTCAGCTATTTCCAAGGCCGGAAACAATATCTAACCAGGCCTTCACCGTGACCCCTTTTCCTATGCCAATGCATAAGCCATGTAATCCGCTATCCAATCCAGGGATCTCCTGAGTTACGATTACGCACATTTATGATAGCAGCAGAGGCCTGCTACAGCACAGAGAGTCCAACCCATCATCCACCGAAGGATTCAGGATACGCTGATCTGCTTCGTTTCGAATCGTGCGTATACGAGCTTCTGGGCGCGGTTGGTCCCAAGATAAGAGGATCGACTGGATCGTGGCATACTTGGTGACAAGTCTCTGGCTAAGCGGAGATCTTGGTGATCACATCTATCCAATAAAACCCATGTTCATGGGGTAGGGGGTCGAGAGAGTCCACGGGAACTCTGCATCAGTTCACATGTCTACTTAAATGTAAAAACAACCACAAAGCCACCCAACACAGGCTGCAACCCAAGTTCCGAATCAAGCCGGCGCATGCTTGACCGCCAGTTTGCGGTTGCAGGAAGAGGCACACCCGTCGAACAGCTGTGAAGTTATAGGATTGGCCAGCTTTGCATTGCACTCCTATCTGATGTTGCTGAACCTTGGAATGGCCCGAGCTTGAGATAAGCTGTGGTATCAAATTGTTCTATTCTCTGTGTGTGCATGCATATGCCTACGGGTATGCGCTAGTAACTACTCCGTACATTTCCCACGTACATATGCACCATGGAGCAAAAAAGCCCGGCTGAATAGGAGGGCCGGAGCTTGTCTTTCGTTAGCATCTGTTATCCCGCTGTGGAGGTACGTTGTGCTAAACCTGTATATGTGGACGTCTGTGCTTTAGCCAAGTCATGCAGGATGCAGGATGTGGACGATCTGACCTGAAGCTGAGAGCTGTCAGTGGGTATCTTGTTTTTTTTCCAGCGTTGCAATGTGCATTGAGCTTTGCTTTTTCTTTATACGGTAGGTAGAAAAAGCAATTGCAAGACCCAATTATTGTCGTATTATTCTCGAGTCTACACCTATCGGCTTGTCAGGTCAGTGCCCCCATGGAGAAGTAGACGCACGAGCCACGCTTGGCCGGTTGGAAAAGCTGGTTCTTGGTGCTGCTAGGCTATAGATGCTCGGATTAAGGGTGTGGTTAGCGGTTAGCGCTCTAGGCCCGGATATAGTATAGATTTTTCTTTTCCCCCCACGGCGTTGTTGGTGGCTGCGGCATTTTTTTTGACCTATGACCCAGGTTTACTATAAACAGGCATTCTAAGGCCAGAAATTTGATATTGCACCTATAGTGAGACTCGCATGGATATTGCGTTATACCAGCGGTAATCGATTCTTCCGACTCTTCCCGAACACCAATAACAAATAGCTCGCTTCAGCCTTCCTGGTTGATAGCACCGAATATGAAGCCGAGCTATTTGCGGGCCGGCCCCCCGGGACACTCCGCACCGTAATTTCCCCGGCCTTCAGCGTACTAGCGGGGCTGGGGGTGCCACGTGGGAAGGAAATCGGTCTCATTGAATGGGAGCCTCACACAAAAAGGCGGTATGAACAACCCTGCCGTGCTTGGCTAAGGTTCGGTGCTGTGTCCCGGTAATCTTTTTTATCACCAAATGTGCCGTCGCATGCAGGTGCCCGTAGAACAGTGTGCTTGACAACGGGCGAGTCCGCTGCGATTTGCGCTCGATTGCAGCTATGCCACTCTCGCGCCTTCGAGGTACCCGATTTGTATTTGCTAGCCTCAATATGTCCGAGCGGTGAGCTCCTGTCATTTTCCCCTTCCTTACGTGGACTTGCTTGCGCGAACTGACCTCCAGATTCCGAGGGATGTCCAGTTCGATATCATGACAGGACTCGTGTCTGCTACCAGATCAGAACGCCAAGTCAACAACTAAGGCAGAATGCCAGAACTATAATGCACGTACCACGAACTGCTCCAATGATTCCTCGAATAGCTCGTTGTTCACGCCCACGCCGCCGGGATGTTCTGTCGGAGAAAGGGGATTCTTGACCACTAAACAGACCGAACCGAGTTAGCACTGCTCAGCCCCCAAGCCAGACCAATAAACCACACGAACCGTATTCCACAAACAGATTGATATAGATCTGTTGCAGCGCGATACGCATGCTAGGACTCTTGAGGTCCGTCAGCATAACGAACTTGGTATTCGTCGGCGTCTCATAGTAGTGAAGCTTGTACTGGCTGGTGGTGAACGACACAAAGCTAGTTGGGTCAGCATCGGCTTCGCCCGTACATCCGAAAGCCAGCAGACAGGTCCTGTCTGGCTTGCTTCAGGGGCAGTCTTACTTGTCCTCTTCGCCTCCTAGCTTACGCACCATATTCCGCAGCGAGAAGACCGTACCGAATACAAGCTTCGAATCATCGTCTGTCGATCGCACTGTCTGGCCGAGACCGGTCGGTGCTGCGCCGGAGACTGTGTCAGACCGTGACTTCCCCACGGTGGAGGTCGGGCGCGGAAGCCAGCGACGCTTGTAGATGCATTCCGCTGGATGGCAGTTAGTATATGAAGATGACTTATATAACAGGAGAGTATTTACCGTGCCGATCAAAAATGTAGAACGAGTAGACGACCATTGTGTATATGACCTGAAACAAGTTGTTGTGATGTTCAGGGGAGTTCCGAGGTCGATAGGCGGTGAAATTAGTTTCCGTATCGATAACAACGGCCCATATCAAAAAGGCTGCCTAGAATTTCTTCGGGCTTTCCGATTTGACTGGATTTTAATTTCACATAGGGCTTAGTATCATTTATTCTGTCCGCTTGTGTCCAATCCTTGCCAAGGGGGCCTCGTAAGGCTGACAAGCCGCATCTCACGTTATCGAATTCCCCGCTCGAACTTCCTCCTTACCCCACATATCTCCTACCAACACTTGTTGATCGGTGCATTTCAATGGATCGGAATGTGGCGACCCCTATGTCGGATATCTCCGCAGAGCCCTCTGTCGCCTCGCTGGAGAGTATGAACGATGTGCGGCCCCAGGCGAGCAGAGTTGCGTGAGTCTCACTATGAAACACTTGCAAGAGATTGATTTTTCCTAAGTATGATGTACCACGCTGACGGCCAATCTCCAACTAGATCTACTGCGTCCTATGACGGTTCTGCGAGGCACCGACGACGAAACCCAAGGTCAAGGCGTCCGGTGAAGGTCAGTCTCTCAATGCCGTTATGACAGCTTCGGAGAACTGATATTCCGCCCACTAGGAAACACTGGACGCCCGCTCCTCCTATTACACGAGCCGAGATGACGGTACCGCAGAACATCGCATCAACCAGTATGTGATCAAACAGGAGATCGGACGTGGATCGTTTGGGGCTGTCCATCTGGCTGCAGATCAGTATGGCAATGAATATGTATGAGCACGACGAACCTGCGAGAATTGAGCCAGGGAAAATGAACATGCTAACTATCAGATAAACCATCTGTGGATTTAGGCAGTCAAAGAATTCTCCAAGTCTAGACTAAGGAAACGTGCGCAGTCGCATATGTTGCGAAGACCGCGGGGTCCGATTCGGGGAGGAACGGATTTCAACTCGCCATTACATCGCCATCCTTCCGGTGACGACACTGATACAGCACAGAATCCCTTATATCTGATCAAGGAGGAAATTGCAATCATGAAGAAACTGAACCATAACAATCTGGTGTCATTGATCGAGGTCTTGGACGATCCGACAGAGGACTCGTTGTACATGGTGATGGAAATGTGCAAGAAGGGTGTCGTCATGAAGGTCGGTCTGGAAGAGAAAGCAGACCCGTATGATGACGAGCAATGTCGATGTTGGTTCCGTGATCTGATCTTGGGGATCGAGTACCTGCATTCGCAAGGTATTGTCCATCGAGATATAAAACCGGACAACTGTCTGGTGACCAACGACGACATGCTGAAAGTGGTCGACTTTGGTGTATCGGAGATGTTTGAAAAAGATTCAAACATGTTCACTGGCAAGTCAGCTGGGTCACCAGCATTTCTCCCGCCAGAGCTGTGCGTGGCCAAACATGGTGATGTATCCGGAAGGGCGACGGATATCTGGTCCATGGGAGTAACTCTATATTGTCTGCGATATGGAAGGCTGCCCTTTGAGAAGCAGAGCATCTTCGAGCTGTATGATAGTATCAGGGGAGATCCCCTGGTCTACGAAGATGAGTCAGATGAAGTATTCAAAGATCTGATAGGACGGATTCTCGAGAAAGATCCAGAAAAACGGATCGACATGTTTGGTTTACGAGTGAGTTAATCGCAATTACAATACTCGCCAATGCTAACCAGATACAACAGGAACACCCCTGGGTAACGAAGAATGGGACGGATCCTCTGCTGCCATTTGAGGAGAACACGTCACAAATCATTGAGCCACCGACAGAGGAGGAGATGAACTCGGCCATTACAAGAAAAATGGGACATCTTGTAACCGTGGTATGTTACCATTCCTCGTTGTGATGGGATATTCATTGACAAACCCCGCAGATGAAAGCCGTTCAAAGATTCAAGCGACTAACCGATCCCACCAAACCACAATCCCCCATTCAAAGTACGTTCGGTAGCATTCTGGGCGGAGACCACGAGGCCTTCCTCGTCGAGCCACCAGAGGAAATGGACCCAGACGAACCCTTCCCAACAGTGGGAGCGGCTCTAGAGACACACGACCCCCATGACATGCGCGCGGGCATGCGCAAGAACTTCCCCCGGCGTCCTTTCGCTGGGTTCCGAGATGACGCCGGAGTTCTCGGGTCTAGCGATTCAGCCAGCTTTTCATCCCGGCCAGAGCACAGCCCGAGCGGCAGCAAAATGCCCAGCGGCGTGTTCGAGCCCGAACGAAAAGACTCCGGCTCTATCCGCAGCTGGGGGTCGACGGCTCAACCGGATATCGGCAACGAAGCTCAAACCCACTCCCAATCGGCATCGCCTCGTATCCCCCTTTCGCGAGCGAGCTCGGCTAGAACTAAGCGCAGTATGGAGGGGACGAGAGGGCATGCCCGTGATCCGCTGGAGGAGGAGTTCCCCTACCTCTTCATTGGGCCATCTACGTACAACGGCTCCTCGCAGCAGGATGCCGTTCTTAGTGACGAGCCGGTCTCCATCTTGCAAGAGCCGGGACATTCAATTGATCCTTCTGACCAGATGGAAGATGATGAGCCGGTACAGTTCGTTAGTGAATCGCCCGGCGCTGCAGATTTCAATATCTACGAGACGGCGTACAGGAAGGAACTAGACCGGATCAAGCACAACCTGAAAGACCGCGACACCGGCCGGAAGGTCTACCTGACTCGCTTTGTTGAGAAAAATAGCGCCGAAGTGTTGAAATTATCCAAAGAGAAGGAGTTAGACCTTCAGATGGGGGATGACTTCACTCCTTCTCCTTTGTCGAGAACACCATCAGGCTTCGGGTCTGCAGTCAGTGCACTGCGCTCGCAGATTCTGCAGAAAAGACAAGCCGAGGAGCCGGAGGAACAGGGGGGTGATGCAAGTAAAGATAAAGATTACTCGCAGAACCGCGAGCCTCATCCTCATCCTCCGAAACGCCTGTCGGTTCCATCCCAATCTATACCGGAGCCCGAATCGTCTTCTCTAGACGCGATGGGTGTCTCGACTACGGAGGAGAATGGTGATTCCAAGGCACAGCTGCGGCGAATTCTTGATCGAGTTCGTGGAAAGTCCGATGGTGCAGAGTGAGAGGCTAGGCAGAAGGTGTTGTTTGGATAAGGTTGTGCGAAGCTTAGGTCCTTTGTGTATGTAGGGATAGCATTTCATTCAAGGTAGCATTTCATTCAAGGCGTCGAAGGAGACAGCTGATTTCATTGTCTAATCTTTCCTTTGGCCGATATATGCTGCGAACATGCGGTCACCATGGCCTGTGGATTGTGGGTTTGGATTGCGCGGTTATCATTGAAGGTTCCAATGCTGGGGAGCATCAAAATAGAAAAACATAAAAGAAGTCATCCGCCCGTAGGCGATCCGGCAACTTGAGATCAAACGGCACTCGAGCTGAGGATGAACGGGGGATCCAAAGTGGCAGTGCGCCAAATGTCGCCAACGACAACCGCTAGGCCAAATGCCTATCCATCCATTCATACATACTTGGCAGTGCCATTTCTTATACAAAATAAAGCAAGAATATAGAATACTGTCTGGTTCTAAGAGTTAGCATTCAAGTGTTTCTGAGCTTTTCCAGTGCATATGAGCACCTGCATATCTTTATCTTGCTCTGTTGGTTTGGTGTCAGAACCCAACACATTTTAAGGACTGGTAGTAGAACGATATCTATTTGTCAAGATCCGGCTTCGAAATGCGCTATACGTTGGCAAAAGCCATAACTGAGTTAGATGGGCATGAAGAATGAAGAACGATGACCAAAGTGACGTGTGAGAACGAATACTCTCAATTCATTATTAACTAGGGCAAAGGATGTAGGACATCACCCTATAAGGAGAGCCGAGATAGAAGAGAATGAACAGTAAAGCAAAACCCAAAGGTCAGAACAGGGACCAAAATGTCATCAAATATCAGAAGGTAGTAGAATAAAATACAGGGTAGACAAGCCTTAAACAAGAAAATTGAAAGGCTCAAAGAACCGCCATTGCCATGTATTAGCAATAGACATAATGCATCATCATCATCAAATGCATAGCACGCTAGACATTGGGCTGGGCTGGTGAGAGAAAGGAAAAGCGGAAAGATAGAATGTATAAAATCGAGACAGAGAATAAAGGAAGATGCGAGGCACGAAGGGCATCAATTGGCGTAAACTTCTGTGTCTTGTCTTGTCTTGTGGTGCTTGGAGTAGGCCTCACAATATTGAGATTGTGTTTGCCTAGGAGACGAGTGGGAAGCAGGAGCAGAAGGAAAACAGTGTAAGGACTCGCTTGCTTGAATTTGGGGGCGCAATGGCGTGAAGATTCAATCATAGGAAAATCGAATATCAAGAATATGAATGCCGTTATCTTCATCGAACGTGGTAACTCATGGACGCATCAATGGATGTATGAAGGTCACTGTCACAAAGAGAGAAGGAAAAGAAAAGCATTTCCCATCCCGTGGCCTATCTGATCTTAGGTATATAGTACCTAGGTCGGCAGACATTAGGCATAAAATGAGAGGGTTAGTCATGCATGGGCTGTTGAATTTTCGAAGAGGGAAAGTCGGAGGTGTGAAAGGGGGTCGCTTGAAGAGCTTGGAGAAAAACCGCGCACAATAAACACAACATGAGAACGCTGTCTATTGTTCATCAATGGCTTGATCATTCATTCATTCATGGCGCTTGGGCCTAAAAAACAAAGGCTGGAATCGAAAGTCGAAAGTATTACCGAGACTGGGATCAAAATGAAAATGACGATATAAAAAAGGAAAATATCAAAAACCAATGGTCATCGTGGAGGTTGCTCGGCTGGCGTCGTGCTCATTCGTCCTTCCGAGTACTGTCCTGGCTGGTCAGATCGACTAGTGACCGAGTCGCGCCGACCACTGTCTGGCGGGGAGAACCGGTCTGCTGCAAAGTTGTAGGGCCGCTCGACTGGGTTGCTGAGTCTAGGGAACGCGTCTGGGGGACCTAGTTGCAAGGCATGCGGTGAAGGGAGGGGATGACCCATCTCTGTTGGCCGGGGTAGTTCACGCATGTTGGTGCCCATGCCAAGGGCTGGCATATCGCGGCGCTCATCGTTTGCCGCGGGGCCGGGGCCAGGTGGTGGAACTGCTGCGCGCATTGCTGAAGTGTCATAGAGCATTGGGGTTGGGCCTGGTTTGGGTCCTTGGAATGCTTGGGGTGCCGGCGGGAATGGTGTAGACGATGAGCCTGCCGCGGGGCTCGTTGGCGAAGGAGGCACTTTGAGTCTGCTAGACCCTGACCGTCGAGGGGCTGGGTAAGTTTCGCCACGGGCCTCGGCTAGGAGCTTGCGTCGCTCGGTCTCTGCTTTGCTTGGGCGTCCTCGTTTACGTGGTGGTTCGCCGGGGCCGGTATCTAGTCTTGGGGAGAGCTGGGCCGATGCTCCGCTTTCGCTGCTGTAAGAGGCGGTGCTGGCTGGTGGCCTTGGCTGGATTGCGCGAGGAATTGGCTTGTCGGAAGGATACAATGGCCGCTTGCGCATAGTGCTAGGGTCCATTGGGGCTGGCGGGCCGGTCATATCGGATCGTGGTGGAAACGGAGCTACTGGATGTGTTGGAGGATGCGCAGGCTGCTGAACCATGTTGAGATATGCCGTTTTGCATGAGCTGAGTGAACGGCCTTGACCGGAGCAGGTGTTAGCGCCATGTTGATATTGATCTGCAAAGCCTTTGTGCACTTTCTCTTTCTTTTTGCTTTGGCCAGTAATTGGACGATAATACCTTGAGGAAGGGGAATATGCTCCCAGCTTGGAGTTATGCCATATTCTTTAATCATGCGTACTAGATAGCTGGAAGGAAATCCAGCTTTCTTGAGGATCTCGGTGAGTAGAGTGTACTGGTTGGTTAGCGTCAAATTCACGTCCGGTCAAAGAATCTCCATACCTTGTCCTCCTCGGTCCATGGCCTATCAGATGGATTCGACATATCCAGACCATGGAAGCGGATTATAGCCGGCTTCCCTTTCCCTCCGAAAAGAAAAGAAATATAACTTGAAATAAAGCAAAAACCAAAAACAAAGAAAGCCTCCCAGATTATGATCCCGGAAAAAGGACAGCGAACAGCAATCGTCAGGGTCGTGATACACAATTCAGGTCATTTGATCCCTCATTTATGTCTGAGAGGGAAAGCGAAAAGAGTGAGAGAGAAAGAATTAAAAAAAATCAATCAAAAGACACGCGCCAGCAGGGAACGAGAGGAGGTCTCTTATGTCCCCATATCCTCCCACGCGGAGACGAAACAAAAGGGATGGCAGAGGAAAACGAGTGATCTGACAATTGGAGGCTTCCTAGCCAAAGAAAATGAAAAAAGAGCAGTTGAACGAAACTCCATTCAAAGTCCCCAATTAAGTTTTTCTCTGGGGATTTTCTCCAGGAAGATTTTCTGGCCAAACGGACTTGAGCAGCCGGGATCGCGCAGGAGACCAGCGTTCGGGAGGAAAGCTGCAGAGACGATGCTTTCTGGAGAGTATTACAGTACAGGTTAGAAGAATATGGTAAAGTACCAAGCATACCAGGTGAATAAAGAGAAATGGGCGTTTCAGCCGGGAACAAGTTTCATGCGTTTTCCAGAAGAGTTTCGAAGGGCAAAATTACCACTAAGAAGACCGGGAAGCGGGGAGACTGGATTTCTGATTCCTCCGAAAGTACAATCGAGGGGTTGAATTGAGTGGGGGCTGCATTGTATCGAACGGATGGGGAGTCTTTTTTTGCATATGGTATGGCCATTGGGGGGGTTGGTAATGCCTAGGATACGATGTAGATGTATAAGATAGGCTTAGATTCAGCCGAATTGCATCGTTGGTTCGGGAAACGGTTGGCCCTGGCAGTTCCAGAACCAAGGGACAGTTGAGGAAGCGTTATTTCTTGTTTTTATTTTTGGGGGCATTTTAGTGCATGATTGTAGTTTCGTGTCTTTTTCCGGTAAACAGTGGGAGCAAGGTGGATCATGGTGGGATCATGGATGGTGGGATCATGGAGCTCAGAGCGGATCCTGATAGGTGGTAACACTGGCCCGGGATGTTGGGACGTCCTGTGAAAGGAAATGATTTTGTTTGAAGCTAGCCTCAGGGGCGGTTAGAGTGGGCGATCGTACAGAAAAGTAAAAAGCGCGTCTGTCATGCAGGTGGTTCTGATGAAAATGGGTCAGGACGATTGGCAGAGACGAGCCGAGTGGAGAGGGGGGACTCCGCCGAGGTACAGCCATCAGGTTCTTTGTAAAATACGAGCTCGATCAGGGGTGATGAAGCATGGTATGTATGAAGAGAGAAGAGAGAAGAGTGAAGAAGAAGAGAAGAGGCGAAGAGGTGAAGTACGAGGATGACATAGAATTATAGCCTGAGGCATATGTCCAATCACACATTGGAAGTATACTATTTGATCTCATATTATAACTAGTTAACTATTTGTATCGTATTATGTATTATATTATTATTTATCTGTAAAATAATAATATAAAATGCAAATAATTTCTCTGTATGTAGGTATGTCTGAACGCACAGACTTCCACGTTGACGAACAACACATGCAGACGCGCTTTTTCCTGTCTTCTCCTCCAATCGATTTCTGTCGACTCCTGAACTTTCACTCTTGGACACATGCATTCTTACTTTTTCCCCTTTCAGTTTTTTTCCACGGCTTTCAATTAATATCACTTCTAGGCCTATGCTGACAGACATTGAAAGCTGATAACCCTGTCACAGTTCCCGTCTGAGGAAATCATGGACACATAAAATGTTAAAACGCAATTGGGATACATTGGGATCGAGGAAAGACTACATATTGTCACTCTCCCATTACTCTATTACTCTATCAGAGTACTCCATACCTATTCGAGGTATGCTCTTAAGCCTCTTGAGGTGGAAGTGAAGCTCAACCTCCATGAACCACGCTACACCATCAGACGGTGAACCCGAGGTGAATCAGGTCTATACAAGAAGGAGAACTAGGCTCAAGGCGGTGAGAGACGCGAAAATGACAATAGCTTCGATTTCAGTCAAATTAGGAGATTTTCATCAATGAGATTGTTACCTTTACCGCTCTGGAGACCCCCTTGATTCCCGAGGGCATATCCTGGCAGAATCATCCCAGAACCTTCGTATTCTTTCTATTTTCGTTCTCTCTCTTCCTCCCTCTCTCTCTCTTTCTTTCCATCCTCCATCGTAGTCCGTGTCGTCATGTCTGCCCATGACTACGCGGACTCTGAAGAGCCTGCCAAAATGGAGCGGGACTCTCCGGTAAACGGCAATCATTTGAAAAACGGCGACTCGCGTACCTCCTCTCGATCTCCTCTCCCTCCGAAAAAGGAGTCCTCCCCCAACTCCGATGCATCCGATACAATAAAGGAAAATATCGGCCAGATCGTCCTTAAACAGGAACCGGGCCAACCGCCCAAGCTGTCACGAAGCTCGTCGCAGAAGGTGGCGTCGCGACCTCCGCCGCTGTACACGCACCTGCCAGATAGCACTCAGGATGCGCTCGCCTCCTTTGAACAGATCCCCGGCTGTATCTACGCCAACAAGTACATGGGATACACCGAACATGCCATGGAATGTGATTGCGCTGAAGAGTGGGGTAAGTTTGGTTTTCGAGTCGTTTCGGTAGCTTCTTGCCCGATTTCGAAGGGGACATTCTCCCACTTTGGCATGATGGAACGTCCGCGAGCATATCGCTGACCCACTCTGTAGACCCGAAGATTGGTCAAAATATCGCATGCGGCGAGGATTCAGACTGCATCAACCGCGCGACCAAGATCGAATGTGCAGGCGACTGCGGTTGTGGCTCCGACTGTCAAAACCAGCGGTTTCAAAAAAGACAGTTTGCACCGGTTTCCGTTATCAAAACAGAAAAAAAGGGATTCGGATTGCGCGCGGAAAAGAATCTCGACCCGGGCGAATTGATTTACGAATATGTTGGTGAGGTCGTGGGAGAGGCGCAATTTCGAAAGCGCATGAGACAGTATGATGAGGAGGGCATCAAGCACTTCTACTTTATGTCCTTGAACAAGGGCGAGTTTGTCGATGCAACCAAGCGAGGCAACCTGGGACGATTCTGCAACCACTCGTGCAATCCCAACTGCTATGTTGACAAATGGGTCGTGGGCGAGAAGTTACGTATGGGAATCTTTGCTGAACGTGCTGTTCAGGCCGGCGAGGAGCTAGTTTTCAACTACAATGTTGATCGATACGGTGCCGACCCCCAGCCCTGCTATTGTGGGGAGCCGATGTGCACGGGATTCATTGGCGGACGCACTCAGACGGAACGTGCAACCAAGCTATCGAACGCGACTATCGAGGCTCTTGGTATTGACGAGGCCGATGGCTGGGATACTGTGGTGGCGAAACGCCCAAAGAAGAAGAAGATGGAAGAGGACGACGAGGAGTATGTGGACAGCGTGCAGCCCAGGTCGCTGGATGAGGATGGTGTGACCAAGGTCATGGCGGCTCTTGTACAGTGCCAGGAGAAGTGGATCGCGGTCAAATTGCTGGGCCGTATCCAGCGCTGTGACGATGAACGCGTTCGCAATCGCGTGGTCAGAATGCACGGATACCAGATCCTGAATTCCCAGCTTGCTCAGTGGAAGGAAGACCAGAACGTGGTTTTGCAGATCCTGAACATCCTCGACGGGTTCCCGCGTCTCACCCGGAACAAGATCCAGGACTCGAAGATTGAGACAAACATCCGGCCGTTGACGACCTGTGAGGATGAACGCGTCGCGAAGAAAGCAGTCGCCCTTCTCGACAGCTGGGCTGGTCTGGAAGTCGCCTACCGAATCCCGCGCATGAAACGCGGCAAGGATGCGAAGCAGGCAATCAACCAGTTCGAGCGCCGCGAAACTGGACACGAGCAGCGCCAGCGATCTGTAACTCGCTCTCCGTCTCCTGTGTACGATGCTCCTCGTGGACCAGCACAGCAGCGAAGAGACCGAGGTCCTCAGCGGCCCAGACAACCCAACCGTCGTGGTCCTCGGCCATTGCCTGAGGGATGGTATACTGCGGAGGCGGAGGGCCGCGTTTACTACTACTCTGCATCAGGCAAAACAACATGGGAACGGCCAACTTTGCCTGCTACTCCTGCTACTCCTGCAGCGGGTCAACCCCTCAAAAATCAACAAAATTTGGCATTACAGAGTATCATTGACGGGATCATGAACACCCAGGAGGACACACCTTCCGAGAACCGAACTGCTACACCCGTGACTCCTCAGCCTTCCGCGGATCAAGCGGAGAGAAGACACAAAGATGGAGAGAAGTGGAGGAAGCTTCCATTGGAGAAACAGAAGAGAATCTACGAGAACACTGTGAGTATTCACGCAGAACACGGTATATAACAGGACTCAGGACTAACACAGCACAGCTTTTCCCGCATATCAAGCCCGTGGTGGATCAGTACAAACACAAGATCCCTGGCCATCATCTGAAACGATTTGCTAAGGAGGTAAGATCACCAACCCTCACGTTCGATTCTATTTCTGATGAAATGTAATCATGCTGACATTCCCCGTTAATAGACTGCGAAGAAGCTCGTTGAGAGCGACTACAAAAATAATCGCGTCAAGGATCCCACCGCAAAGATTTCCACGAAGCACCAGCAAACCGTTAAAAGTTACTGCAAGACCTTCTTCCGCAAGGCTGCAGCCAAATACGTGGATCGCGAGAAACTCGAGGCCGAGAAGTCGCAGAACGCCACCCCGAACCCCGGAAGTGAGGTTCACAGCACGGGTGACGATGAAGCCATCGCGGGTGCACCTGCGAGTTCACCCCTGGAGGATGATGACGCTGCGTCGCTCAAACGCAAGCGAAATGGAACCCTGAATGTTGACGGCGCTGAAGACGGAGCCTCCTCTCCCTCCAAGCGACAGAAATCTACACCTCCACCGCCTCCCCCTCCGCCCCCTCCAGCGGATCTTCCTCAAGATGACGCCGACGGTGATACCAGCATGGGAAACACTGGAAATGACGCTTTATATCCGAAAGACGACCCCGGCGCTGGAGTCGACGTCAGCATGGAGATAGAAGCGGAGAATAAACCCCGAACGGAGCAGCTTCAGATCAGTATCGAGGGAAAGGTATAGGCAACTTCCACGGTTCTTGTCTTATTTTGTGCTTGTCTATCAATACCCAAAAGCGAGTAAAAAGGCGAGAGTATTGGAAGAAAACGGAGGGATTGCAACTGGTATCTCAACATCCTGCATTACTTTTGCTTCTAACGTGTTCTTTTTGTGCCATTTTTATCTTTGTTCTTTTTCTGCTTTCTATTGCTTTCTATGCTGTCGACAATACCCCCGAGCCCAAGTGCCACTATCATAGTTTGCATCAATTCAGCCTGTCTTGAGGTGTAAGCTTCATGCTTTTCCAAGGCTTAGCTATATAGCATAAAGACAAATATCTACAGCTATATAAGACTAAGACAATCTCGATCGCTATTCAAATGTCAACATCTACATCTCGATTAATTTTAAAAAAAAATCTTTGATACTACACATTCCATCCATCATGCATAATTCATTCGAGTATATGCAAGCGTAAGCATTACAGACTCCCAAAGAAAAACCCATCAGACCGAACAGAGCAGAGAACACAGAGCCGAACGGGCCAAAAAAAAAAAAAAAAAAAAAAAC